GATATATTGTTCCTCTATCGGAGTCATACCACAGGAACCGGAAGTGACCGGAAAACATGTCTCGGAGATGGTCCCGATATAACATAGAAAGTGTTAAAATTAAAATTTTATTTCTTGTGCATATCATTCTCTGGTTATTAGGCTATTCGATAAAACAAACCGCTTTTGAAAATATTGAGACATTCAGGAGCTATTTAAATTTTAGCGGGGAACAATGTTTTTGAATCCCCCATAATTGTTTCCGAAATATGCACAGGTATGCAGTCTTATGAATTCATTGACTCAATGCATATGTGTTTTACAGATTTAAATTACATTTCACGCCATTTATAGTCCGTATTGAAAACTAGAGTTGACAAATATGTAGCGCTCATTCCTTGAAAATACTAATTGTACGTAAAATATGAATGACCATGGATAATTTGTTAAATAATTTTATGAAATAAAACATCACTTACTGAAGGGTCATCCGTCCAGAAGATTAGCGACAAATGAATGAAAAACTCCGCGAATCAGTCGTACGGCCAAAGTTCCGCTAAATGCCCGACAGTTGGCAACTCTACTCAACACTGGTATCCATAGCTTTATACACAGCCGTAGACACCAATCATTCATAACTTAGTGACTTAACACAGATTGTCTCTTGAATTACATGACAAACAGTGAAATGTCTAATAAACACGCTTTCATTGCCTTATTGTTGGCCGTGTGGGCAGCCATTGAATTGAGCGGCAACACCGGAACCCACGGCAATCCCATTGGTGAAAGTAATGGTGATGGTGGTGGTGGGGAAACACCAACGGTTAGTGGTAGTGGTGATGAAGCAAGCACAGTGGAAAATAATGAATCAACTACAGAAGATAATGAAATAAGCACAGACGGGGAAAATGAAGCAAGCACAGTGGGAGATATTGAAACAAGTACAGCGGAAGATGATGGAACAAGCACAGTGGAAGATAATGAAGCAACTACAGAAAACTCATCAAGCACAGAGGAAGGAGAAGTAAGCACAGAAACGGTTAAGGAAGCGCGAATAGGCGAGGACCTGGATGACATCGATTCAGCCCTTTTTGGTGCTTCGCTCGCAGTCAATGAAAACGCCAAGAGTTCGGGAAAAGAGTGCTCAACGAGTACTGACTGCTCGAATGAAGAGTTTTGTTTGGGTGACGGGGGAGGGAAGTGTACCGTATGGGGCGACCAGGAGCAGTTTTATGAAGATTTAATTGCGGGACGGCTATTCTGATATTTTTAATACCTTTCACTGATTAATAAAATAAGTTATTGAAAACAATACCTTAATTATATGTATTAATTGTCTGGCACTGGCCGGTGTGCTCATTGACTATCTGTCCACCCCTTGTGTGCCGCCACAACTGCTGGCGCTTCTCCTATCGGACGGCCCTTATTTACTCATAAACAAGGTCATATAAAAATAATCCAAAAGTATAACTTTTTTCATGGTTTTCCGTTTCTCGAAGACACACATACAGTATGTTACTACAAAGGACTGGTATGTGGACTGGTATCTGACCTAGAGCACAAACTATGAGACCTAGAGAGAAAATTTAATTGATAATAAATCTGTGGCAAATGCTTATGTGTCCATTAGATTTACCAGTGCCAATTATTGTCAAAAGTGTTAACTAGTGTTGAAACATTTTTAATAAATTAATGCATGACTCACAACACTAGGTTTTAGTTTATCATTATAAACTTTAGAAACATTTTTCATATTACTAATTAAGAAATTAAAAACTAATGTTGTGAGTCATGGATTAATTTGTTAAAGTGTTTTAACACTAGTTAACACTTTTCGCACTCATTGGCACTCATAGACATAGATGTTTATCTACCGCTTATTAATGGAGTATCACATTGTTCAATTAATACTTCTATATTTGGCATTCAAAAATGTCCATGATCAATGATCCCTATTTGGACCAAACTTGGCCATCAAATAAGGGTTTTATTAAAATATTTATGTTATATTTAACTAAATATGTATGCAATGTGTGCTTGATTATATTGTCTAATGATCATTTATGAATTGTATGATTTTGTGACACTTGCCAAATATTTTACAAAATAATTTGTAAAGGCTTTCTGATCGACACAAGTATTATATTTTCGTCTGATTTTCACTTTATAACTATAATATTGTAATTTATTGACACCCACTGTGTCATACATACTGTCTAATTGTGATATAAAATAATGATTTGTATAAATTGAGAAAGTCCCTTTTTATGTGTTTAAAAACGGCACAATAGATAGTATTATTCAAGTGTTTAATATTTTTAATGAATGAAAAAATAATTATAATTACTTTTGTCTCCCTTTAATTTGCATATAATTATAATGTATGTATAATTTCTTCATTGTATTTGATTTAAAAAATAATAAATAATTGAAATTTTATTGAAACCTCACTGAAAAGCGATTAATTTCTTATTTTATTTTATCATTTAAAGCTAATAATTTTATTTGTTTTATTAAAACGTGCCTGAACATGTAATTATGCAATGATATCACTGATAGGTATATTATTCACTGAAATTAATAATTAAGTATAAAAAAGTTGGTAAACAATAGTCAATATGTTTTTCCACCGAAAATATAGTACTTTAGCGTAAAATTCAAAAGTAATATGTTTTTGATTTGATTTTAATGTATGTTTTTCTCGACGCCAATCTAATCATTAGTTTATATTATCGCATATTTTTAATGACATATTCTCTCGAGTTTTGGTGAATATCAGTGTATTTGTGTAGTTTATAATACAAATAAACTGAGACAGGTATTGGATATTCATTCAGTTTTAATAGGATTTCTCTGGAAACCCATTTACACCCACCGATGGTGTGTATGGTTTCTGTCAATCAATTGATGCATAAAATTAATATTAATATAACTTATATTTAATGTGAAATTAAAGCATTCAGAAATACAATTCCCAATAAATAGGATTTATTATAGATTTTGTGTACTTTTAGCGAGTTTTCTGAATAAAACTTTTTGAATTCACATTTAATAGAGATACAGTGTTTTAGAAATTAAATTCTCGCAGTTTTATTGATTTTGATCATAAGATTGCCATAAATTTAAGTTTTTTATAATGGGCTATAAATTATATAAATAAGAGCTCAGGGTTTTACGTCCAATTTATACCAATTTAAGCGTTAGTTTTAGTTTTTATTAGACTTATAGTCTTATCTTGAATTCAATATCCATTATATTGAATTAAAATCTGTTTTATTCTTTATTCAAGTATTTTTAGCTATAATACGAAAACTACTTAATTATCAATAAATACAGATATTTTCCTTATGTTTTGTATATAATTACTGCACAACACAAAAGTCATAAATTATTATAATTTAATTCATTAAAAATACAGAATTTTTTAAATGACATTCAATAGCAATCAGCTATTTAAACGGCATATTGTTATAAACTAATTATGATTTGATAATCAACTCACAGCTTAACATCAATTCAGAAACGAGTGGCAAAACATAGATAATGACTGAATGGGAAAGGGATGCTCTGTAAACCCATTGATTAATAACCGACCCGGGTGCATGTGACTAAACTTTGAAAGTATTTACAAATTGTTGTTTACATGTTAGAAGTGTATGCGATATGATGGGTAAGAAAATTGTTTATCTAAAGTAATCAAGGTCTTCAAACTCTTCATAATATTTATATTTTTGTTTGTAGTGTGTTTGCAATGTTTAATAAGTTTATACAGGTGCAATATCCCATCGAGAAGCACACATTATAATTACCATGGTAATTAAACGCGTAAGCACCATACTTCACTGTGAATGTCATAATATCAGGTATTTTTAAGAATTTAATGATAAGCAGGGTTAAAACTATTATGAAATTTGACAAATATTTTCTCAAGTTCTCAAAGTTTTCAAAAACTTTTTTGCTATTCAAAAGTATAGCCCAAAAATCCGATTGACTCGACGGTAATGATTGTGAGCACTCTCTATGACAGTGAAGGTCGTAATAGTCCTCCCCATTCGAGCACTGGTAGGTTTTTTCTCTCAACTCCGAGCCAAACGTATGGGGAAAGGACATTGCGCAAACATCATAGCGCCAACACCATTGATTGTATATATTTATCATAGTATTTGACGATTGTGTCAAATACCGTGGTGTGTATATAAATGTGTGGTTTGTTTATCAGTAGTGGTGCAGAGTTTGCTGTTAATATACAAACTCTGTGTTTGATTCATATGTATGACTGTAACCCTTAAAACACTTAACTAAATGTACATCATATGTATTAATTGCTAATAGTATGCAAAAATAGTATTTCATTAGTCCATCGGTTAGTAAGCGATTGGATATCAGTGTGTGTTTATCACTCAGCTATTAATACTCACCATAAAAAAAGTTAATCCCATATTTCCAAAGGCATCGTAAAAAAATTATAAAGTATAATTATAAATTTTTTTCTCACTGTATGTTTGATTATTTTGATATAATTTACAATTGCGTGACTTATGATACCATACAGCTATTCGCTATCATTACTACCGCGTATAATTCAAAGTTAATGGTACAAGTCTATAAATATATACCTAATACACTTGTACATCGGAAAGTATATTTCGTTATCAAATCTATTGTGTATTCAGTTTTTCATAAAATATAATAACTTTTGTTATCGTTGTGTGTATTTCTACAGTATTGTAACCGAAAAATTTATTTGAATATAATTAATATATACGCGAGCAATGAATTTGCTATATTTTTCGTTACGCTAAATACATTGAAAACTTTTCGCATAAATGCTGCAAATCTACTGATGGACTCATTAGAGGACATACCGCTGAGTGAAGAGGTATTTCCGCTAATTTTGTGCACTATTGCCAAGAATTAGGACAACAGTAATATAATATATCGCTAACTATTATTAATACCATTAACTCGTATTTTGATAACATTCACAATAAGTTTGCAATTTCAAGTGAGAGACTGTGACTATAATAATAATAAATCAAGTGGTTTGCCAAAAAAAATATAAATTACTAGATAATCAATGCAAATACGAAAAACAACAAAAGCTGATGAATATTCATAACATAGATAATTGTGATGTGAATATTGGATATGAAATGAAATAATAAAAAGATATTCTGTAGTGAACTCGAGTTCCCACTTAAAAGTCTAGAGTCTTTCGAGAACTTAATTGTACGAAAAGTGCACTTAAAGTATCGTTAAATACAGTACTGATGAGAGAGTGTGTGTGTGAGAGATAGGGAGAGAGAGAGAGAGAGAGAAAATAACATTTTAAAAGCCCTAAAAATAATAAGCAATTATAAATTAACAACGATTATCGCATTACTAAGCCGCGATTACTAAGTGAATAGTGATCTGGAGTACCAGTAAAAGTAACTTTTTTGAAAACATTGTGTAAAAGGCTTTCCAAAGTCTCTCTCTCTTTGACAAACAACAGGGCACTCGAGAGGCACTAATCAAACAAATACACAGTCAATCAAATGGCTAATTGGAAAGTGTTGACACTCACATCCGTAGCCATCGGCCTGTGCGGGCTCGTCCTCATCATCACCCTATTCACAGCCACCGGGGGTTACGTACCCTTTGATGTAAGTCCCCCACGAAATGCTAGCAATTTATATACAACTCAGGAATGTTCTGTGAACAAAAACTTTTTTCATACAAAATTCCTCAATATATGAATGAAACAAATTCTGTATGACATATAGTATGGTGTAGTACTGGACGCCGGCTCATCGCACACACAGATAACGCTATACCACTGGAAGGCCGACAAGGAAAGGTGTACGGGAGTGGTGGAGCAGTTGGACACGTGTCGTATCGAGGGTGGCATCAGTGGCTACAACATCACCGACGTGTCGGTGGTCGGCGAGGATCTCATGCAATGCGTCCGCAACGTGAGCACCAAAATCGATAGGGAAAGGCTGATGTTGACGCCCCTATACCTCGGCGCCACCGCCGGCATGCGACTGCTGAACATAACGGCGCCCATGATAGTCAATCAAATGGCTAATTGGAAAGTGTTGACACTCACATCCGTAGCCATCGGCCTGTGCGGGCTCGTCCTCATCATCACCCTATTCACAGCCACCGGGGGTTACGTACCCTTTGATGTAAGTCCCGTCACGAAATACTAGCAATTTATACACACTCAGGAATATTCTGTGAACAAAACTTTTTTCATACAAAATTCCTCACAGTATAACAAATGAAACAAATTCTGTTTGACATATAGTATGGTGTAGTACTGGACGCCGGCTCATCGCACACACAGATAACGCTATACCACTGGAAGGCCAACAAGGAAAGGTGTACGGGTGTGGTGGAGCAGTTGGACACGTGTCGTATCGAGGGTGGCATCAGTGGCTACAACATCACCGACGTGTCGGTGGTGGGCGAGGATCTCATGCAATGCGTCCGCAACGTGAGCACCAAAATCGATAGGGAAAGGCTGATGTTGACGCCCCTATACCTCGGCGCCACCGCCGGCATGCGACTGCTGAACATAACGGCGCCCATGAAAGTCAAGTCCATATTCGACTTGATCCACAAAGTCTTCACATTGAATACTCAGCTCCAGATTAAGACGATAGACATCATCAGCGGCCAGAACGAGGGCCTGTTCTCGTGGGTGACCAACAACTATCTGATGAGCAAACTGGTGGTCGACCGGTTCGACACCCAGTCCCCCAACTCGACGATCGGTATGTTGGATATGGGCGGCGCCTCCGCGCAGATAGCGTTCAGAGGGCTCGACACCAGCGGTAACGTCACCGACAGGGACGATGTGAATGTGAGGCTGTATGGCATCAACCATACGGTGCACGCGTCCAGCAATCTGTGCTTCGGCGTGGATCAGGCGATGCTGAGATACCAGGCCTACCTGATACTGAGCCGCAACCGAGACAGGGACCCGG